GAAAAGTGGATTATATTAGCAAGAAATGTCTTTTTTTTTTTCCGTAATTTAGCTAAAACATATGAAGACATAACTCCATTAAGCCTCAATATGGATTTCTGTAAAACAGCAATTAGATTAGGCAAAAAACATTAAATGGTTCCATAACTCATAAGCCCATGGATGGTTTAATTACATACTGGAAACCATTTTCTAACCTTGATTACATAATAGAGAATTCATACAATCATAATTTACATGTATCTGCTCAAAGATACATAGATGGTTCTATTTAATGTTTAATACACATACATATTCCAAAAGAAGTCAAATATACAATAGCTACATCAGTAGCATACTATCTGACATCAAACAAAAACGATCTTCTCCTGTTGTCTTTTTTTTTTTCCTTTGGGGCCTTTTCCTGCATAGCACAAAAGTAAACTTATTGCTAAGCCATTTTGCTTAAGTTGGTGTACTATTATAAAAGTTAAACATAAATTTATTTCAAATCAAACTCTTTATATTGAAATAATGAATCAATAAGTCAGTAAACCCACTATGTTAAAGGAAATAAGAAAAAAAAACAATACCATTTAAATCAAAATCATAATGTTAGTTCTTATACAGCTTTGTATAGAATCAAATTCCGAGGGCACATCAGTGTCTAACTGTGCACATCTAGACCCGCTATCTACAACCTCCAATCGTGATATGATCTTCAACAGAAGAGGGAGACAATCTACAACCTCAACATGGAGGGGAGAATTTCATATCAATCATTATCATCTAGTTGAGGTATCCATGTGTCAATCGATCGTAATATCAAACTTCAAACAAATTGAAAGCTGATATTCGAGGTTTTAATAACCATGTTCTATATCAGCTGTAAGACTTTTAAACCATTTCCATTCAATGTAATAATATTAAAATCACTTGGGGCAACATTTCATTTCGCAGAACACTACTAAATCATTCAGTCACGGCCCACCCCTCATACTAAAACAGGAAGCAATTGGCCAACATCCTCCTCTTTCAAGGTATAAGATCATAAAATTCATTACATATGTCATTTAGGTCGTATATGCTTTTAAAATAGGCTTTGTTCTTTAAAGAACTTATGAAATCATTAATACTTTTTATAAATTATGATATAAAGTAGAATCCATTGAAAATATTTTGCAAAATGCAATATCATTTTGTTTAAAATAAAAGTAGAAAAGGCATAAGTACACTAACCTGAGCTAGAAGCGCCCCTAGCCTTTTTCCTTCTTGCAACCACGCCTCTCCTCAACTCCCTTTCTCTCAGAAGCTTAGCATGAAGGATTAATACTCAGACTAATTCATACTAGCACAATATACAGGCACATGCACTTCATAGGAGATGCAAATTAAGCATTAAATGTAGTATCATGCTTTTGTCTTTCCTTTTCACTTATGCTTGTCCAAGTGTCATATGTCCTTAGTTTAAGCATGAAAACACTTCATATCCAACACTTAAACCACATCTAGAAAACATACTACTAACAAATTAAAAACAATAGAAGAACAAGTGCATGCTAAGATTCATTTCAATGTTATGAAAATGCAGAATTTCAGGCATATGTGAGCAGCTCAGTGCATTTTCGTTGGCTATATCTTAATTTTCTCATATTCATTTGCCCTGAAATTGTTACAGCAATATTCCCAAACAATCTTAGAGTACTTCCCTGTAAAATTCATAATTTTAAAGCTCATTTGCATCTTTCAAATGACATAATATAGGAATCTGAGATTTCAGTTTTTTGCTCATGCTGAGCAGCCTGCATTGATTATTAATTATAACTCCATTCCTTTTATCTAATACCTTTCCCTTAACACGACCTTACCCAACATCTCACCCATCTCCATAAAAATTTCATGAATTTTTGAATTCATTTGCTTAGTCAAATAGGGTCAATTACAAAAAGCTGAAGTTCAGACAGCTCCCAACTGTATCAGGTCAACAATGATCATGTTGCTTAAAGCCATTCTCAACTTCCACTTCCAGCACAAATTCATGCAAATTTCAACTCTCTAGTACTTACATAACATCATAATGGGAAGATATATCAGAATCCCTAAATCAATGGCATATCAAATACAAACTCAAAATCATTCCATCTTGGTGAATTATGCAATTAGACTTTGAATTCATGCATAACTAGTTTCAATATCTTAAAATTCACCTTAAACTCAATTCTAATCCACTTCATCTTCACCCAAATCAAATTGAACAAGCAAGCACCTCACTTCAAAGTTCATGGAATTCAAAAATTAATCCATAGAAAATGAGAAGTGAAGATACTAACCCTTTTCTTAAGAATTACTTGTGAAAATTCCTTGATTTTCGACCTCCTTTTTGCTTGGTGTTTAATCAAAACTCTCCTCCTCTCTTCTTGACCAACTTGGGCTTGCAAAAAGTGGGTGGGAAAATAGGCGTGCGGATCTCCACCTCTTCATAATAATATATACTAAAACATTATTAAAAATTCCTTCCATGTCCTTTAAATGGAAAATTGCACTTATAATCTCCCTTTTGTTTTCACCTTCATCCTTTGGCACTCTATATCTTTTATCACTTCACTTTAGTCCTAGAGGTACAACCAAGTGTATTTATATTCTTAAACCCCACTTAAGAAAGGTCATACTTGAAAATTACCGTTTTTCGGCTTTTCGGGTAAAATCGTGCTTTACCAAGAAGTCATTCCTCTTTAACTCATTTTGATTTCCTTTAATCTTTCAAATTGATTGTAATCACATTAATTACTATTAATTAATATTCACATCCTCCATATATATAGTGTTTCCCAGTATGTTCTAAGTTTTCTTGCATACGGATAAACCGAATTCATCGAAAAAATAGATAGAAAGCAAGAACTATAAAGTGGAGGATATGTACAACTCTTCCCTCCTTAAAGAAAATTTCGTCTCGAAAATTTTACCTGTTATAGATCTCTGAATAGATTGTGGATGTGGTCTTCTTCATTCTCTTTCCACGTTCCCAAGTAGCCTCTTCTCTTGGGAGTGGCTTCTCCATAACACCTTAACTAAGGGAATCTGTTATTCCGGAAGTTGCTTAACTTCCTAGCTATGATAGCCACTGTTGCTTCATCATAGTGAAGTCTCGATTAACTTCAAGTTGATTCTAAAGGCCAATATATGTGAAGTCCGATTTAGATCTCCGAAGCATAGAGAAACATGCGAAAACATTTATGAATTTTCTCGAGGTCGTGGTAAAGGCTAACCTATATGCCAATGGACCAAATCCTTCAAGTATTTCATAAGGTCCTATTGAAGCGAGACTGCAATTTTCCCTTGTCTACCAATCTCATTAAACACGCTTCCACGGGGAAAACCTTAAGGAATACTTTATCACCCACATTAATACTCTATGATCTCTTTCTTCTTTAGATCCAATATATTTTGTCTATCTGCAGCTGTTTTCAATCTTTCTTTAATTAACTTTGATCTTTTGCTTCTGCTTTTTGAATAATTTCAGGAACCTAGCAATTGCCTATTCAACCAAACTTCACCCAAACATAGGGTGTCCTACATTTTCTACCATATAAAGGACTTCATTGGAGGCATTCCCGATAAACTGGTCTTGTGTAACTATTATATAACAATCCATCAAAGGCAAATATTATCCAGCTACCTTTCAAACTCAAGAACACAAGCTCGAAGCAATCTCCAATATTTGAATAGAATCCTCTCAGATGACCATCTGTCTGAGGATGAATGCAGTACTAAAATTCAATCTAGTGCCCAGGCTTTCTTGTAAACAACCCAAAATCTAGATGTGAATCTTGGATCTCTTATGGGAAACAATGGAATACTGGCACTCCATGTAGCTTAATTAATTTCACCAATATATATTTCTGCCAATTTCTCCTAAATTATAGTCTGGTCGTACAGGTAGGAAATGAGCACTCTTCGGTCAATCTATCACAATAACCCAAACTGCATCATTGCCTCTGAGTCAGTTGAAAGTCCCAATTAAGAAAATTCCATAGTCACTCTTTCCATTTCCATTTGGAATCTGAAGTGGAGGATGTAATCCTTGCTGGTACTTGATGTTCTGCCTTAACTTGTTGACAAGTATAGAAACATTTTAGCTACAAAATTCAGCCAAAGATCTTCTTCATACATGTCCACAATAATCCCTTATGACCAAATTTTCTTTGTCCCGCTGGATGCATAGCAAATTGGAGACTCATGGTGCTTCCTTCAAGATGAGATTGTCTCAAATCTAAATCGAAGGAACATATAACCGGTCCCGAAATCGGAAACCATCTTCTACTGACAGAAAAATTCTGGTCGTTTACCATTCTTGTGTCTCTGAAAGAAATCTTTTGATATTCATCATGCAGTCAATATTGCTGCTCTATATGATCAAAGCCAGTAGAGCTTAAACCTGAAGATTAACTAACACCCATATTGTCAGAAGATCATCTCAAACTGTCGCCTTAATAGACCGTAGTCATGACTAGAGATAACACTCTGTAGGTCTCAGGCTAGCAATTAGTCTTACGGTCAGTGCATCTGGCTACCACGATTAGCTTTCCCTGGCTGATAATCGATAATACAGTTATAATCTTATTGATCAACTCAAGCCATTCTTTCGCTGTCTCAAAATTCAAAACGTCCCTTTAAGTACCCAGATGACTTTCAAACTTTTATGATCAGTGAAGATATTAGCATTTTCTACCATAAAGATAATGTCTCCATATTTTCAATGCAAATTACAATGGCTTGCAAGTTACAAATCATGTGTAGGATAATTCCTCTCATGTGGTTTAAGTTGCGTGATGCATAAGCAACTAACATTTCTATCCTGCATCAAACACACAACCTAATCCATTATTGAGAAGCCATCACATAAACAGTTAAACTCTATACCTGGAGTAGGTTAAAGTCAAAACTGGAGCTTTCAGTCAAACACTCTGTCAGCTTATCAAAGCTCTCCTGACATTTATCTGCCCATTAAAATCTAACGTCTTTCGCAATAGTTTAGTTAAGGGGCAAAGCAATGATTAGAAAATCCGCTTAACAAACCTGCGAAAAATAAGCCAAGCCAAACCAAAAACTACGAATCTCGGCAAACATTCTTTGGTGGCTTCCAACGAAATAGCCTCAATCTTACCAGGATCCACTGCAATCCCCTCTGCAATACAATATGACTAAAGGAAAAGCAAACTTGTGCTAACCAAAATTCACATTTTAGAAAACTTAGCCATAAAGTTGTTTTTCTCGAAGAGTTTGAAAAAAATATTCTTAAGGTTGCTTATTCATGCTCTTCTTATATCTTTGGAAATATCAGAAATGTCATCATTTAAAAAACCCACAAACCAAACTGGTCAAGTAAGGTCTGAAGATCATTGTTCATCAAACCCATGAATGATGCTGGAGCATTGTTAATCCGAATGTCATAAACTAGAAACTCATTAATGGGCCAGCGAGTCTGAATGCCGTCTTCGGAATACTCTGCTCTTTAACTCTGAGTTGATATTACCCCGATCTCAAATCTGATCTTCGAGAATACAGAAGCACCCCTTAACTGATCAAAGAGGATCACAATCGCTTTGGCAAAGGGATACTTATTCTTGACTGTGACCTTATTCAGCTGGCGGTAATCATGCACAACGTAAACTTGCCACTTTCTTCTTAACAAATAGCACTGCGAGCTCCCCATGGTGACACACTAGGGGTGAATAACCCTTTTACAAGCAACTCCTTAATTTTGCTTTCAATTTCCTTTTATTTCAAGGCAGGAGCCATCCTGTAAGGAGTAATGGAGATCGGTTAGTCCCTGTCATAACCTCAATCCTCACAATTCAACTTCCCTTTGGAGCGATCTGCGAAGTCACACACAGTAGGAATGTCCTTAAGATTAGGAGTACCTACCCTTGTGTCAACAACGTGAGCTAAGGTATGCCTCACACCCATGACGAAAATCAATTTCTGGCTAAAGCCTGCTAGTGATCACAGATGAAGGAAGTATCTCTCTCTTGCCCTGTATCACCAAATCTACATATTTCTGGCAGTTAAATATTAATCTTGCTTAAGGTTCACAATCAAACCAACTCTGAATATTTTTAACCAATCCATACCCAAAATAACATCAAAATCTCTGGAAGGCGCATCTAATAAATCAGAAAGAATACATGACCTTGATCATGGAGTGGGCAATTCATGATATAATCTAATTAACGCAATAACCTCCTGCCCTTAAAGGGCACGCGATACAAGCACATCATAACCCAATCTCAACAAGGGAACAGATGCATTAACAAGAATCCTAAAGCACTAATATAGAGTAGATGATCCAGGATCAAACAACACAAAAACATTCATGATTAAATAAAGAAAAGACAACCACAGCCACTACATCAGCTGAATCGGCATCCTGCCTCTGCCTCATAGCATAAACTCTAGCTGGCCCACCAATAGGCTCTGGTTGATTCACTGTCCCCTGACTGCCCGACATGCTACCTCTACCTCTGCCCCCACCTCTGCCTGCAGACTGAGAAGATCCATAACTAGTAGTTGGTCTTTGAATCGATCCCTCTGTGGCTGCATATGCCGTAGTTGTTCTCGGTCTAGGGCAATCCCTCACAAAGTGTCCAACCTCACCACAGTTAAAACATGCTCCTGTGGCCAACTTACACACTCCTCCATGATATCTACCACAATGTACACAATTACGAGTAACTGGAGGAGCTCGTGGAGGTGGCAATGGTGGTCTGAACGGCCTTTGGCTCTGTGGCCTCACACTGCTAGATCTAGGAGGAAATGGACCAAAGAATCTCCTCTTCTTACTACTAGAGCTACTAGCCCCTGGGAAAGTCCTCTAGCCCAGCGGAAAGTCCCTCCTGACACCTCTTCTCTCCTGACACTCTTCTCCTTCTCTGTAGCCTTTTCTTGCTCAACCTTCTCCTAATTCAGAGCTTGTGATACCAATGCAGAAAAATTCTCATGTTCAAAGTCGATCACATGACTCTTAATACTGGGCTTCAATCCCTGTTCAAATCTCTTGCACCTGTCCCTGCCTGTAACTAACAGACTCCCAGCATAATAGCTCAACCGTGTAAACTCCCTCTCATACTCCGCTATAGTCCTATGATCTTGTCTGAGCTGTAGAAACTCCTCTATCCTGGCATCCACATAGGTAGACGGAACATACTTTTTCTTGAACTCCCTCAGGAAGTCTGCCTAAGTCAGAACTACAAGGGACTTAATCCTTTTAATTCCTACATTTTTATATCTTGTAGCAAAATTCATATGCATCTTCCTGAAGTAAAGAGACTGCATAATCGTACTTCTGAGCATCATCACACTGGAGCTTTAAGAAAACCCTATCAATCCTCTCTAGCCACTACTCAGCTACCATCGGGTCAGTGGTGCCTGAAAACTCTGTGGCCCCATACTTAACCAACTTATCATACTGTCTAATTGGCTGCTGCTGTTGCTGTAAGTTACCGGCCATTTGTCTCAATAACGCAGCCATCTGCTGGGCTATAGGATCAGCAGTTGGCGCAACAGGGACATCAGAACCCTCGGGAGCATCACCACTCTCTTCCTGCCTCGCCTCAGACTGCTCCTCAAGAGGATTAAAATTATCTCCCTGACCAACACCCTGCATACTATTGATAAAAAACAAAACGCCCTCTGTATACTATCACAGAAAAACATTCATCTTATTAGAATATTGTATGATGTAGATATCCAACAATTAACAGTCATGTCATATTTGAGCAGATTGAGCAGATTACAATTTCACATTTATTTCAGCAAAATATGATCCAATATGCAATTAAAACCGCTCTGCATACCAAAATAAACATGTCACACCTTACCTTACTGTAAGACCATGGGCAATGTCGCCCGTAATATACTTAAATAAGCCCACCTTAAGTCTTATAAATGCCTTACTAAGTATACTACAGGGACTTAATAACTGTTGATTATTATTTATATCTTATAGAAAAAGTAAGACTTTAATTATTAAATGTAAAACTCCTTTTGGTTCTTTCATCTGTTATCAAGAAACTGTCTTTTTTTTTCCGTAATTTTAACTAACATTGAAAACATAAACTTCTCCATTAAGCTCAATATGATTTCTTAAACATCAATTATAATTAAGCAAAAACATTAAAATGGTTCCATAACCCATAAGCCCCATGGATGGTTAATTACATACTCGAAATCATTTTCAAAACCATAGATACATAATAGAAATTCATACAATCATAATTTACATGTACTGCTCAATAATACATAGATGGTTCTGGTTAATGTTTAATACACCATACATATTCCAAAGAGAAATCAAATTATACAATAGCTACATCAGTAGCAATTACTATTCTACATCAAACAAAAACCGATCTTCTCTCTAGTTCTTTTTTCCTTGCCTTTCTGCGATAGCACAAAAGTATATCGCTAAAGCATTTTGCTTAGTGGAAGTACTATTATAAAAAATAAACATATTTATCAAATCAAACTCTTTTAATATGAATAAATGAATTCATAGTCATAAACCCACCATGTTAAAGGAATAAGAAAAAAAAACAATACCATTTAAATCATAAATTCCCATAATGTAGTCTTTAACAGTTTTATAGAAATCAATTCCGAGGGCCATCAGTGTCTAATTCGCAACATCTAGAACCTGCTATCTACAACCTCAATCTGTGATATGATTTCAAACAGAAGAGGGAGGCAATCCTACAACCTCAACATGGAGGGAGAAATTTTTCATAATCAAATCATATATCAATCTAGTTGATGGTCATCCATGTTTAATCGATCGTATATCAACTTCAACAAATGATAGTGTATTTTGGGGTATAACATGTCTATATCAGCTGTAGACTTTTTAAACATTCCCATTTCATGGTAATAATATTAAATCAACGTGTGGTCAATCATTTCATTCACATAAACACTAACTTAATATTCATCCAGTCACTGGCTCACCCTTCATACGTACATGGAAATTGGCCAACATTCCCCTCTCTTTCAAAATGATTATGATCAATAATTCATTTACATATAGTCATCTACGGGTATCGTTAATTTGCTTTCAATATAGTTTTTCTTTTAAAACTTAATGAAATCATTAATAGACCTTTTTATAATTATGCATATCGAGCTAATAACGTAATTACTTATCCATGAATGATATCTATAGTGCAAAATCAAGGTTATCATTAAGTATTGCTTTTAGGTATCATTAAAGTAGGAAAGACATAGTAACAGGCATCGTAACCTGAGCTTATGGAGGGCCAGGCTTACCCTAGTTCCTGTGATTTCACCTCCTACGCCTTAACTCTCTCTTACCTCCCCGTTCCTGAGTACTTCCCTTTCTCTCAGAAGCTAAGCATGAGATTTAATACTCCCATATTATACAATTCATAACAAACACAAATATAACACAAACATGCACCACATTACTAATAGGAAATGAAAAAATTAAAAGCAATAGAATTGTAGTAATCAAATGCTTTTTTCCCTTTCCTTTTCATGCTAATGCTTGTTCGCACAGAGTGCCATCATTCACATAGTCCTTATGTCTTTATAGATCAATGATATAGCAAACTTTCAAATCATCCACATACACTTTAACCCTGCACATTCCTCATCGTTTCTCCGCACAATCATACTCTTTTAACTAACTTCAAACATTAAATGCGACAATACGAAGTATGGTGGAGGAGAGTGAGCAGTCTAAATTCATTCATGTTTTTATGAATGCAGAATTTCAGCATATGAGCAGCTTTGCAATTCCCGTTGGCTATATCTTAATTTTTTCTCTCATATTCATTTGAATTTTTACAGCATGTTCCCAACATCTTAGAGTACTTCCCTGTAAAATTTCATAATTTTTAAAGCTCATTTGCATTTTCAAATGACATAATTATCAAATGACATAATTATAGAATCTGAATTTCAGTTTTGCTCATGCTGAGCAGCCTGCATTGATTTAATTATAACTCCATTTCCTTTTATCCAATGGCCATTCCCTTTTAACACGACCTACCCAACATCTCAGCCTATCTCCATGTAAAATTTCATCAATTTTAAAGTTCATTTGCTTAGTCAAATAGGTCAATTACAGAAGCTGAAGTTCAGACAGCCGAACTGTAATAGGTCCAACAATGATATGTTTGCTTAAGCATTCTCAACTCACTTCCAGCACAAATTCATGCAATTCAACTCTTCTATTACTTACGTAACATCATAATATAAGATATATCAGAATCCCTAGGTCATGGCATATCAGGTCATGGCATATCAAATACAAACTCAAAAAATCATCATCTTGGTGAATTATGCAAATTAGAACTTGAATTATGCATAATAGTTTTCAATCATCTAAAATCAAACCTTAAACTCAATTCTAATCACTTCATCTTCACCAAATCAGAATGAAACAAGCAAGCACCTCAACTTCAAAAGTTCATGGAATTCAAAAATTATCCATAGAAAAAGAAGGAGGAAGTGAAGAGACTAACCTTTTCTTAAGATTACTTGAAAAATTCCTTGATTTTCACCTCCTTTTTGCTTGTTTTTAAATAAAAACTTCATCCTCCCTCTCCCTTCTTGACCAAACTTGGGCTGCAAAAAATGGGTGGAAAATGGCGTGGTTATAATCTCACCTCTTCAATAAATATATATAATAAACATTAT